TTAACCAGAAATTTGATTGTCAAAATCATAGCCTTTCCACATTATAGAATATGAAAGCACAGCTAGATTTCTCGACATCAGATGCCACTTACTTACTCATGGAGCTGAGCCCTTCTGGAGGACCCGCCAATTCTGCAGCTACTCAAGACTTTCCCAGCATTTTATGGAACCCGAAGGTTCATTACCGCGTTCACAAGAGCCCTCCACTGGTCCCTATCCTGAGCCAGATCTATCCAGTCCATACCATCCCATCCTATCTCTCTAAGATGCATTCTAATATTATCCACCCACCTATGCCTTGGTCGTCCCTGTGGTCTCTTTCCTTCTGGCTTTCGCACCCTTTTCCTATACACATTCCTTGTCTCCCCCATTTGTGCTACATGACTTGCCCACCTCATCCTCCTTGACTTGATCATTCTAATTATACCTGGAAAAGAGTACAAGTTATGAAGCTCCTCATTATGCAGTTTTCTCCAATTTCCTGTCACTTCGTCCCTCTTCGGTCAAAATACTTTCCTTAACACCCTGTTCTCAAACACCCTCAATCTATGTTCCTCCCTTAATGTCAGAGACCAAGTTCCACACCCATATGGAAGCACAGGCAAAATTATAGTTCTGTATATTCTAATTTTTATGTTTTTGGACAGCAGATGAGAATACAAAAGGTTCTAGACTGAATGGTAGCAAGCATTACCCGAGTTCAATCTTCTCTTAATTTCCTCCTGAATCAGGTTTTGATCTGTTATCTGCCACTATCAGATTAATATATTTTAGTTGGAAAAGGAAGATATTCAAGTATGATTTATGTTCAATGAGACTGTTGCAGTTATTTGTAGTTAAGAGCTATGTTCATAAGTGGTCAATAAATCCAATACCAAATACAAAACCATGTCAAGGTTCATTTTAATACATGAAAATATATTTAATATTTTCAAGAATCCAAAGTAAATCACAAAATGTAAGTAAATTGAAAATAATACTTGGAGAAACACCAGTGCTCTTAACTTGCAAATTTAGGATGAAGATAATTTTTTGGGCATAGTAAAAATTCTAAAAACAGTTCTGTTTAAATGTGAAATATAAATCAGATGGATTTAGAATGAAGCAGCCTTGGTCACTGTGATTTTATTACTATCCAGAGTTTTTATGGATGGACTGAGTAAAACCCCTAGACATCCTTCTCAGGATAGCTTGCATGTAGATCAAAACTTGATTATAGAATCTACAGGATACAAAGTGGAAATGTTAGTATTTATTCATGATATTTGGCCCCACCGTTTACTTGGGAGTTGATATACAAGACCAGTCTAGAGCCCACAAATATTACTTGAGCCTTTTAACCAGTGTTTACAACACTATCTGTCTACATCCATCAGTGTGTACTAATATTAATTCAGATTATTGTACTGATATATTGGCAGGTTGTTAAGACTTCGTATTCGTTCTGCACAGTTCTAAGATCGATTCAAGACTACTAGAGAATATACCTTCAACAAAAAATTGAATTTCAGGTAGGCAAAGCCTCTTCTCTCTTCATTCAACAGACAGTCTTGTTATTGCATTCTTATAAAAGAGTTTATCATGACTACATGTATATACAGCAATACGTTCTTAATTTAATATAAAATATGGTGCCATGATCATAATTCACCACCTTATATACAGCAACATATGCAGTAAAAACAGAAGCAAACATTTAATAAGGAAGGCAAATCTGCATGAAAAAAAAATTGTTGTTAATTGTGCTATTTCCGTTCAACAATCAAGGTTAGGTAGGCAGCACACCAGCATGCGTCAAGACATGTCACAGTCAAGACATGATGTCTGCAACATGATGCAAAGAAAGGAGCACAGTTGAAACAAATGAGATTATGAAAACCGTCGCACACTGGTCTGAGTCTTGATGCTGACATCATGACTCAGACCAGTGTGCGGCAGTTTTCATAATCTCATTTGTTTCAACTGTGCTCCTTTCTTTGTGTCATGTTGTGGACATTGTGTCTTGACTGTCACATGTCTTGACACTTGCCAGTGTGCAGCTTACTTTAACATTCTACTGAATATGACTAATAGATGTACATCATGTTATTAATCTCTCTTCTTTTGACTTTTGTTAGAGTACAACATAATAAAGAAATCCTGTACTGCTGAATGTATGGCAGCGTTTCCCAGACTTCTCCATTTTTCAAACGCTTTTTTCATAAAGGAAAGGATATGTAAATGTTCATCTAAAGCGGATTTTTCTTTCAAGAAGTTCTCTCTTTACAGACACTCCCTTGTACTGATCATCCCCATGTAACTCAACTTTTACATGGTGTTTCTCAACTTAGTTCCTTGTTGTGAAAGGAATCTAATACAACAGACAGACTAAGGAAATAATATTTTTTAAAACATTTAAATATAACACCATCGCTCATATTATGTGTGTTTCTGTGACTAGTGAATACATATATTGATATTATCATGCAACTGAATGAGATAGATGGGTACTGGATTGATAACTGAATTCATTTCACACTTTTACAGCTCAAAAACACTTAACAGATCACTGTCACGCAGACCACTGTTCCCAGTCACGGTCCTCATTGCACTTCTGGGTGACATCTTCCAACAGTGGACGTTCCTCTGCCTTAGGGGGCACGTCCTTGCAGGTTGGAAACAATCAATGCCAACCTCATACTCTGACTGTAGGCTTCAGCCAGTACTCCCTTCAGCTGCTAGCTCCTGGGCTGGACTCACTTCCAACTACCAATCTCCAACTTCAGCTTTCAGCTGTCAACTGGCTTCTGAGTCAAACTAACTGGCGGATGGTCAGTTAAATCGCTGTTAGCCTTCACCAGCATTGTCATTCCTGGCTTCAGGCTCATCGAGATCCATGATCAAGATTAACTGACACTCCAAACTGAATTCTTATGTAGTCTTGGCACGGATCATATAGAAAACACCGCTTCCAATAGTTACTTCATTGCTGTATGTGTATGTTGCTTAGTGATGGCTCCACTATTGTTGTGTGCTTACACAGCAGTTGACTAGTAATAGCTGTTTCTCTGGTCCTTTATTCTAGCTGTCAGGCCTCATGTGACAATATTATCTTTTCACATAGAAGTGTAGCCATACCACTGACACCACCTGCTTTATTTGTAATCAAGATTTCTTTTTATAGTAATTACGCATAGGATGTAATAAGGAACATTCAAGGGTGACTTAGCCTGATTCTTGGTTTCAAGAATAGGGCCTGCTTCACTGCTACAAAGACCAGGCAAGAAGGACCCTGCAGAGCTTTCCTGGAAATTCAGTTCGAAAGTTGACTGGCGGGATCCTTTGGTAAAGTTACACTTGACAGGTTCTGAACTCCGTAAGTCAAAAGTGGGAAGGCCAGCAACCCACGCTACTGGTATAATTTTTCAAGCAGCTGTCAAAGACGGCGTTAGGACTTTAAGGTCCAAAGCCCCAAACTAGAGCTAGGTGACTGGAGCAGTGAGAAGTGTGGTTAACTCCCTAAATTCAAATTGTTCCAATCAGTCAAAATTAGGGTAGTAACTTGGAGGCAGAGTTGAAGCTGTGAAAATTTCTTGCTTCAAAGCAGAGTCAGTCTGCTAAAGCAGTCTCTGAACAACTCTCCAAGTGTACAGCCAAAAAATTAGCATCACTGGCAACTTGGTTTGAAAGTCAAAGTTAAATACAAAATTATGTTTAAGTGTGTTACTGGAACAATCTCTGAATAACTCTGCAAAATTAATTAGACACAAAAATTAGCATGAATCTTAATTTGGCTTAAAAGTTTAAGTGAAAGTGTAATCACTTCTAAGTGTTGTGCAAAAAAAAGCAGTCACTAAATAACTAGACAGTGATCCGGTCGCAAGAGTTTGAATGATTTCAAGTTTGTTTAAGGGATTAAGGACAAGTGCTGTTACCTGTATATCAAAAAGTGCTCATTAAAGCTATAAATACTCTTATCTTTCCTACTAACACAAGGCTCATATGAACCCTGAGACAGAATCTCATTTCTCTAGTGTGAATGCAGTACCTATCACCTGTAGTTTCCAGTTCATCCCCCCTTTTTCCTGAAAAGTAAGCCTTTATAGTAAGCTTACTGGCACCCAGCATTCATATAACCCATATCCCACAAACAACTAATATCCACAACAACAACAACAACAACAACAACAAAAAGGGAAGAACTGGATGAGAAGGATGCAGGAGCAACCTGCAAACTCGGAGTAACAACAGGTGAGAGGGAATAGCTACAGCAGCAGCTGCAACCAGCTACAAAGGGGCCTGGAGGACAGTAACAGGGGAGGTGGAGCCCAGTGTAAGGGCTGGATGGTAAGAGAAGTCAGCCATTATACACAGCGGTGTTGTCCAGATCATTAACACACACTTATATTAGCTATTTAAAATCAATGTTATTTAAGATTACCTAATTGCCTCTTTGTCTATGAACAAATGTCAGAGTTTGAAAGTATCCCTTTCCTTTAAAATGTAAGACAGGAAGACTTCCTAGCCCAATTGAAAACAGGTTTTCAACCTCCCAAGCATATTGTTAGAATTTACTTACTTTACAGCCACACCAGGCATCCTCATGACTAACAAATTAAAATCCTTTGAAAGTTGAGTATGTATATCATGTAGGGTAACTATGCAAATTTGAGCTAAAAATTAATACAGTAAAGGAATACAGAGTAAGCATATGTAGGCTAAAAAATTGCTGTTACTGTCAACTGAGAGAACCTATATTTATTACAGCCCACCCTTCAGTTTCTTGTGACTCTTTGTGTGTGTGCGTGTGCGTGCGTGCGTGCGCGTGCGATGGTTGAAAGAATATGTGTGAACCCCATAGCAGAGGTACCGACGCCGGTGTACAACACCACATAGCAAGTTTCACACTCTTTTGCTAGATGGTAGCTAACGGGCTGTCACAGTGATTTTACCGCCTGATTTACATAGACCGACATAGACGGCGATAGACAATCTGACAAATGCTGACAGAGATGGTTGGTATTCGTTTATTTATTTACTTCCTATCCATGGATCATTACACATGATACAGGACAAGTTGTGGTTGTATCAAATATGCAAAGATATGCAACAGTTTTTCGCTTTATGCAAAGAAAACGTCAATTTGTTATTAATCGATCATATATTAGACATTTGAGTGTCTGCTGCGAGATTCCTACTAGAATTCATCGGAGATTAGCAGTGGAATTACATTGGAATTTAAATCAGTGTAGAAACATGTTTCTTCATTCCGAATTAAAATGTTATTCATCAAACAAATCTTGGAACCTAGTTAATCATGAAGAACCGAGATCCGCTGGTATTATTGGTATGTTTATGATATGCTGACTCTGTATATGGGTATACGACAACTCTGAGCAGTAAACATTTGTAAGGTTAAAACAGGTAAAGTTCCCCTGTGTTTAACTAATTAAGCATTACGCCATGAAGGCGTATGGGGGAGTTGATGTATAGACTTCCGTTTTCTTGACTCCGCCACTAGCTGGAGTTGAACGGTCAGCTTCACTTACAGGCCGCTTTACCCCCGGGGAAAGAGCCACTGGTACATATTGTATAGGAGTCTGGGTGGGTCCCAGAGCCAGTCTGAATGACATGGAAAAGTGAAAATTGTTGCCCCCACCAGGACTTGAAATCCGACTCCTTTGTCATGCAGCCTGTCGTCAGTCACTGTACCGAATGTGCTATCCAGACTCTGTAAACATGGGTAAGGCAAAAGCTAAAGTGCACCCTGTGCTTAATCCGTTAAGCACAACTCTATGAAAACATGGTGTGGAGGCCAGATATAGCTGCACCATTCTTGATCCTGGCACTAGGTTGAGGTGAGAGGTCAGCTTCACACCTCTGTCTCTTTACCGCTGGGAAAGGAGCCCCCCCCCCTTTCCCATTGAATAGGATTCTGGGTGAACCCCAGAACCGGTCTGGATGCCGTGGAGAAGATAAAAATTTCTTGCCCCTGCCGGGAATGAAACCACAGCTGTCCAGTTCATAGCTTATCACTATACCAACAGAGCTATCCTGAAATACCAGAAGTGCCCCTACCCAGGGGTGTGCTGGAGCGTGATCAGTTTCTAAAAATGAAAAACATTAAAAATATGGTCTAGAAGCAAGCAAAGCATAGTGAGACACTACACAGACCACCTGTGTACTTATTGTTATTAACAGATAATTATGAGTTCTTTTAATTGCACTGATTATGAGGCAAATGTTGAAACACTGTTTTAGAGGAATTTTTATGTACTCAAAATGTTAAATTGTTATATTTCTATTAATTGTGTATAGTAATATTTACTTCCTAATTCTCGTTGTTTACTGTACAGTCTCTGACGTTTTGCAACTGATGATTCTTACACATTAAAGTTTAAAGTGAGGAGACCGTGTATTTGGACTTCCTTAGTACTAATTCATATGACATCATTTGCCACCCAGATTTTCCCCAAATTCATGTTTTTACTATACATCCACAAATAATGTACTTGTATATTAAACTAACATAATGGGTCAATGAATTCAGATATGTGGATGAATATAAAAGCATGCCTGAACATGATATAAAATGTTTGTTTTAATTTTGATAATAGAACTAAAACTGTCCTACAGTATATATTTTGATAATGTGGAAGCAGTGTGCAAGTAAATGACATACTTGTACATAACTGGTCATCATACTGTAATGATGTTACAAGTAACTGTGTGTAGGGGCATATGAGGTTGGATTAAGGAAACTGCAAATGTAAACAGACACATGCAGACACAAAAGAAACTTGGCTGTTGGTGTAATTATGAATGACGCCTTTTTACGTCTTTCCAGTGATTGGCGATGAAATCTTAAAAGGTCAAGTACATGATACTAATTCCTACTTTATTGCTGGAAGCTTGTACAAACTTGGATTGAAAGTAGGCAAGGTGAGTAGTAAGGAGTATGCATTAGTTATGTTCTATAGTATATTTTGCAAATAGTAATCATAATTTAAGATTTTTGTATAAAACAATTTTAACTTTTCTGTCCTATGGTTCTAGATATCTGTCATTGGCGATGTTGAAGAGGTGATATCTAAAGAAGTGAAGAAATTTTCACAGGAATATACATATGTGATTACAACAGGAGGCATTGGACCAACCCATGATGATATCACCTTTCAGTGTTTGTGCTTTTGTTAGGAAATCATTAGATATTAAGAGGATACTGATGTGACATGATTACATAATATAAAACAAAAATAGTGCACGTTGCCATCAGTAATGATCCGTAAAATTGGATACTATGTCCTGGCCTCTGGTTCAAAGCCCTGGCATACAGTATCTTAGACTTCTGAACTGTTAATAAATATGTAAATGATTAAATTAAATTAACCTAATTTACACTTTAAATTAATTATACAGTGAAGAGAAGAAATGATTGAAGTGGTAATACACATGAAATATATTTTATGGTTAAAAATGAAAAGAATTGTCAGAAGTGGGAATATATTTCAAATTATATAGAGCAAATGTGAGAATTATTACAAAGCTACACATAACCAAAAACAAGATATTGTGACGTGTTGCGCAACGGTAATAGGCAGGTCAACATCCTCCCTCCCCTCCCCCCCGCCAGCGGTGACGCGCCGAGCGGAGCCAAAGTTAGCCGAGTCCCAGCATCCTGGTAGGTATGCAACGCGAGTCCACAGCGGTCACGTCACCAAGGGATACCGCGGTTGCTAGGAAGCAGGAAACGACTCCGGACAGCGTTGCCAGCAACACGGCACCAGACAACAATGGTGCCTATTACGTGGCTGTTTTCTGAGTTGTCCAGAATGAGGCTACATAAGGAGCAGTGAAGGCTGTTCACAGTTAGTTCTGAGTTAGTTCCGAGCAAGCCTGCGAGTCGGAGTGTGTGATCAACAGTTCTCCATTTAGCCAGCGGAGAGTAACGAGTTAGCCAGCAACCAGTCAGTTGTATTTTGGCATTTGAAGTCCAGTATTTGTGATACTGCAGATAGCAGTAATTGTCAGATTGTAATTTGGGTGATTGTAAGAGCGAATGTGGAATAAACTTCGCTATATCCACTAAGGCGTGAAGTTATTTGTCGCGTTATACACCCAACACGTGACAACTGGTGTCAGAAGTGGGATCTGGACTTACACACATGACTGACAGGATTCGAACTCAAGACACGTGACAACTGGTGTCAGAAGTGTGTTGTCACACACTTCGTGTGACCACACACTCCGACTCGTAGGCTTGCTCGGAACTAACTGTGAATAGCCTTCGCTGCTCCTTATGTAGCCTCGTTCCGGACAGCTCAGAAAACAGCCACGTAATAGGCACCATTGGTGTCTGGTGCTGTGTTGCTAGCAACACTGTCCGGAGTTGTTTACTGCTTCCTAGCAACCGCGGTATACCTTGGTGACATCACCGCTGTTGACCCGCATTGCATACCTACCAGGATGCTGGGACTCAGCTAACTTCGGCTCCGCTTGGCGCGTCACCGCTGGTGGGGGGTGGGGGGAGGGGAGGGAGGATGTTGACCTGCCTATTACCGATGCACAACATGTCACAATATTTATGTCTATTATTTGTCTACATTTTCACAATTGAACTTTTCTGCAAGGCTTCTGGGGAAAATAATTAGAAATTATTGTGATCAATCATACTGAGAATCGACATGCACGCTCATACCCTGAACAAGATTCACCCAGCCTCAAGCAAAGATCGATAGCGTGTTTTTGTAGCTTCATACCTTTATCACAAGGCCTGTAGTGACAGTCATATTTTATGGTGGAAAAAAGTAAAGTTATCACTGTGCTTAAATAGTTAAGCACCACACCATGAATGCATGGGGTAGTCAGGTGTAGCTCCACCATTCTTGATTTTGGCACTGGATGGAGGTGAATGGAAGCTTCACATCTCTGTTGCTTTACCCCTCAGAGAAGGAGCTCCTGGTACCAATTGGAAAGAAGGCTGGATGGGCCTCAGAGCCAGTCAGGATGCTGTGGGGGGGAGAAAAATCTTGTACTGCTGGGAATCAAACCTGGGCTGTCCAGCCTGTAGCTACACCAATTGATCTATCCCAACTTCTTTATACATTATGGTCATGAACTAGTGCAGATCAGGAAAATTATGTTCTTTAGCCTGTTCTAATGTATTTTCAAGACAGTTCTCTACAAAATTAAACAAATTCGTTGAAAACCGTTGGTCACTAGTTAGACTTGTGGATCAAACTTCGTAGTTTTTGCCACATTGTTTAAGGGAAAGTTTGGCATTGAAGAAGGTCACCATGCAGTCTGGTATGTAACCACCTACTGGACGATTGGTGTCATAACCTAGAATATCACAATCTAAATATTCACATCCATGAAGACCTTAATGTCACATGAAATATGTGTTGCCAGCTTCGTTGTGACATGGCTGTACAGTTTAGTTTTCTGCTCCTATGCTTCAACTCTACCATCCCCTCCTCTTATGCAGTCCTCTCCATGTCCAGCAAATGCGATGCATGTGCTATGACAGACAAGAGAGTACTCTAAACGTTTTATTTCATTATTTGCAGCAGTGGCAAAGGCTTTTGAAGAATCACTCATTCCACATCCAGAGCTGGTTAAACTTGTCTCTGACTATTATAAAACAGTTGATCTCAATTCACCAGCAATGAAGATGGCTCATGTAAGGATCACTTGAAAGTCAGGTATTAATACAGTACAAAATCTTCATTAATTTTAATAATTCTAGAGCTTAGAGTCAGATGTATGTGTGCTGTGTACTTCATCCTTATCTCATAAGAACTGACTATTCATCTAGCTTTTATGCCATGATCCTGCAACCAGATCTCAAAGTTGCGATATGCTCATTTGGAATTACAAAGCACTGTGTCAGCACAGTGGAGCATTATGCAGTTATGGAATAGAGATGTGTTACAAGCATGAAAGAGAACAGTCTTGAAAGTTTATTTTATACCACCATTAACAAATGTAGCAGGAACAGACCTTCACAAAAGGAGGTAGATGTTGTCCTGCGCTTAATTAAGCACTGGTGCGAAGGCATCTTGGGGGAGTAGGAGTGTAGTCCCACGCATTCATAACCTTGGCACTAGATGATGTGAATGTTCAGTTTCATGCCCAGCCACTTTGTTGCTTGGAAAGAAAAATGGTTCCCATGAGATGGGAAGCTGGTTGGGCCTCAGAGATGTTCTCGTTGCTGTGGAGGAGAGAGAAATCTTTACTGAGCCAGAAACCAAATCCTGATACCTCAGATGCACAAATGCCTACTCACTATACTCACTTAGCTGTCTTTGTTCCCCTTCCCAAAGAGAGGGAAACACGTAATTTAAAAGTGTGAGGTAAACTCAGTTCTAGAACATTGTGCTAGGAGAATAAAGAAGGGGTAAAATTAGGAATGAGGAAGTGAGGGGAAGATTGAAATCTAAACATGTAGGGGACATGTTTTAAGCCAGATAGATTTGGTTGGTTTAAACAGATCCCCATTTTATCAAGAGAATGGAAAGTCTTCTTTTAGCCATGCCATTTCTTATTACATAAATTGCCTGTTTGATAAAAGTTTGTCCTGGAAACTGTTCTACTTTGTTAATGATTTCTTGTATTCAAAACTTAGTGTATTTAGCATCTTCACATGCCTGGTTTAGACCATACAATTTTAGGCATTCCTTATTCAGTCATGTTATATTGAGAACAAAATTAAAAAATAAAGAACATTGTGCCATTTTATGTTAACTGACTGAACTGGAAACATGCAGCTAAAGATGTGCTTACATGGGCTTTTGTGCATGCACATTCGAAACCACATGACTATATTCATAACTAACTGATGTACATCATTATACATAAATTTTAATATACAAGTTCAGAAAATTGTGTTAATATTTGATATATATCACATTAGCAATTGCAATTGTAATCACCAGTTCTAGTGTTGAATCTGAAGCATCAGTTATTTACGAAGAATGTTAGATAATATTTTTTATATTTATATTAATATTTAGATTTTACTTGAAGATAGACAGAATCCAGTCTCCGAAATGTTGTGTTTTGAAAAGTGAACGGGATGTGGTTTTTAGATAAAGGCAGGATGATGGATAATGTCCAAAAACATAATATTTTTAGTAGTGTACCATTTTCGCCAAATTTTAGATCTTATTTACAAATTTCATTGTTTTTTATTTTACATTTTCTCAACATTTCATGTTTCATGGAATTTTAATATTATACATATTGATACATGTATTATTCTTAAGTCTTTGCCAATTTAATGTCTTATATTGAAGCTCCAGAATATATCTAAAATTATGTACAGGGTGTACACAAAAGAATGATGCAGTTTCAAAAGTTAATAAAAAATTAATTTCTCACCTTACACAGGCACAACATACACCATCAACGGCAGCAACTGCCCAAGTTTCTCATGTGCTACCAGCAGTTCGCTTCTCATGCTTACTGCGTGTCTGTGGGGCCAGTTTGAAAAATGGCGTTGCAGCAGGAGAAGGCTTTCTGTGTGATCCGTTTTGAGGTGTCCAGATCTTGCGATTACAGTGCAGCGTGAGTTTTGTGCACAGTTTCATAAAGACACACCACACAAGAATAACATAAGCAGGTGGTACCAACAGTTTGTAGAAACTGGATGCTTGTGTAAAGCAAGAGTCCTGGTCCACCTTGTGTGTCTGATGAAAACATTGAAAGAGTGCTTGAGGTGTTTCAGTGAAGTCCCCACAAGTCAGGGGGTAGAGGAAGCAGGGAATTGGGCATGCCAAAAATGACGGTGTGGAAGGTGTTGCATAAGCGGCTGTGTTTTAAACCATACAAGATGCGATTGGTGTAGGCCCTAAAAACAGCAGACAAAATGAGAAGGCATGACTTTTGTGAGGAGATGCAGTTGAAAACAGAGGAAGATGGGTTCGTAGAAAGACTGATCTTCTCCAATGAAGCCACATTCCACATTTGTAGCAAGGTGAACAGACACTATGTCCTCTAGGGAACAGAGCAACCACATGCACAGATAGAGCACCAGCGTGATTCTCCAGAAGTCAGCGTTTTCTGTGCGGTGTCCTGAGAGAAAGTGCAAGGCCCATTTTTCTTCACTGAAGCAACTGTGACTGGTGACTCATTTTTGGACATGTTGGAAAGCTGGTTGTTACCCCAACCGAATACCAATCATGACAATTGCTTCTACAACTGGACGGAGCTCCCCCCCACCCCCCATTTTTACAGGAATGTACCTAGTGTTTCTCAATCGTGTTCTTCCACAGCGCTGGATCAGACATGTACTGCAAATGGAGGCAACAACCTTCTCCCTTGACTACCCCGTTCGCCAGATCTTACACCGTGCAATTTCTTTCTCTGAGGGTTCTTTAAAGACAGCGTTTATGTACCATCATTGCCCACGTCCATCCATGAACTTCGTGATCAGATAACTGCAGGCTGTTACAGTGGACATGCTACACCGTGCTCCCGTGATTGTGTGTTATGTGACCCAGGGTGCACACATTGAAAGTATGTAATTAACACATGAGAAACTTTGACAGTTACTGCCGCCGACGGTGCATGTTGTGCCAATATAAGTTGAGAAATAAATTTCTTATTAACTTTTGAAACTGCACCATTCTTTTGTGTATACCTTGTATTTCTGTTGAAATGGTACCAAATATTCACGTTGTAAATGGTGCTGTGTCGTAGGTTCCTAGCTCAGCTAAACTAAGGTATGGATACGATGCAGCCACGGGACGGAAAACTCTGTATCCCAATGTGTCAGTAAGGAATGTATACATGTTTCCTGGAGTGCCACAGCTCATGGAGAAATTATTTACTTCATTCAGCCAGGTTATTATATTCTTAGTTATGGTGATAATAATTTGACAGTTGACTTAAAATTGAAACTTTAATATGGAAGCTTAAAACAAGGTCACTGTCATGACACAGGAGAGCTCCAAGGTCAGCTTTGTATGTGCATGTGGAAGTTATTTATACACATTGCACACTTTCCATTTACAAGACTGAACTTGCAGAAAGTGGCAGTGATTAGGTGGTTTATGTTCTGTCATTCCCACAGTGGTGCCACAATTTAATGATCCCTAACCTCACTTGTATGTGACATAGCAACTTCCAAGTTTGGCTGAAGAACATAGGATGGATGTCAGATCTGTTGACATCAAAAGTCGAAGCATGTAGACAAAAGCTTCAGCTTTTCTGAATACATACCACTTTCTCAGTCAAAACATTGCTTGCAAATAAAACACTCCTAGCGAGCACATGGCTTTAGCCAGTGCAGTTTTGAGGTGGACACAGCTAAGTCCTGATATGAAATATCATTAAAATATTGCCAGACTGTAGATATTACTTGATTCTAAAGGTTCTGATGATGGTATGTAATACTCAGAATCTCTAATGACTGAGGTTAGCTCTTTCTAAGAGACCCAGCAGAGTAGGTGCCCCTCCACCTCTCTTGAGGATGGAAACAGATCTGGTTTCCAGAACGCTGTTTCCTAGTTTCTAGAATACTGGATGATTGGCAAAGTACAGAAATCCAGTAATTTTATAGCTTTACTGTATGTCTTCTTTGGTGATGTACTGCATGAGTTACATTTCAAAGCGCTGTACAGTGTAAGATGAATTTATATAAGATGATTCCTTTTTCAGGAATTATTTAGTGGAGGACCCAGAAAGTTCTTCATGAAAGAATTATATTTGAAAGCCAAAGAAACTACAATTGCTGAAACTCTGAGCAGTGTTGTGAAAGAATTTCCACAGGTCACTATTGGCTCTTATCCTAAACTTTTCCACAGGTTTGTCAGACCAGTTAGAAATACACATGAATTTCAAATCTTTGACTCCTACATAGCATTTCCAAAATTAGTATTCATCTTAATTTTAGAATGCATGATTCAGAAGGGTTAAGAAGCTTAATAGGAACTGGAACTGAATGGAAGATGTCAGCTGCCAGTGTATCCTGATTATGTTATTCTCCTAGGGTGGAAATAAACATAAAGAAAAGAGCTGCACCAACTGGCTTAACAGTGTTTGTTGCCCTTTCATACTGCGTTATAGGTTGTGCAACATAATATTCATATATTTAACCCTTGCTTTCAGTTACTACAGTGTACTGGTCACAGTGGAGTCTCAAGCAGAAGAGGATATGAATAATGCCTATATAAAGTTAAGAGCTGCATTGTATAAAGGTATGACTGCAGTATGTTTGTTTAATTAAATTTACACACCAGAAAAACAAGTGGTTTGCAGATGCCTTTGTGCATTTGGAGATGAGACTTCATGCATCTTAAGTAGATAAATGAACAGTTTTAAATTCCAGCCACGGAGAGCATCATCAGTAAATGCTGGATAGAATGCTGGAAAGGGCTTAAGTTGTTTCTGGGATGTAGCAATTCAGATAAAGTGCATAGTAAATTTTGTTTTATAATATTCATTACTTTGGGGTAAGATTTAAACATTCTGATAAACCAGTAGTTTATTACTCTTTGATGAAATTGGTAATTTTTTAAAGTTTATTAGTAAACTAAATACTGTGTCAATAGAAAGTTATGAATTTTAATATTATTAATTGAAAGTGGTGAGTGGTGATATATGAAATTTTGGTTCCAGATAAAAAAATAGTTGTGGAATGGAATTTGAATATTACATTAAATCTAAAATTGAAAAAGATTATGAAAAATTGCACCAGGTGTTGTTACTTTGAAAAAAAATATATTTCCTTCAGAAGCTTAACAACAGGTGGAGGTAGATTGAAAATACTGAAAATTAAATGAGAATCTTCATTTCCATGCCAAAGACTTTTATAAACAACTACAAAAGTAATGTTTGTCACTAGAAGCTTAAAAATATTAGAAACTCTTTCACAGTCTACAGTTCTCTTTTGAAAAAATGAAACGGAAGTAAAATTTTTGTTTTATGTGGATGTCTTAGAAACATAAAAGATTTGTTATTCCATATATAATAAATATGTGCTCTAACTTTACAGTCTTCAAAACATTTTATACAGTGAAAATAGAGAATGAATGACAGTTACCACTTTTTTGTTGACTGAGGTATAAAACAGAGTTTTCAAATGCTAATTCCTTATTGTTCATGTGTCTACAAACTGTACCCATAAAATGTTGTGTTGAAACTTTGCATTGTGTAGTAGGTGATATAAATGAAAGATATTGTATACAGTATACACACCCAGCACCACTAGACATTTCATTATTGAGCTACATCATATTTTACAGGCAAAGAAAGGAACACTACAGAAAATTATAAATTTTTTTTGCATTGTATGTCAAAATGTTTGAAGTGCAAGAAGTGTCTCATGCCACATGTAGAAAGCCATCATGGACAGTAGCGTCAGGCGCAAAAGTATAGGGAACCGTAATGCCATTACCAAGCAACAATTACATGAATATATAGCGGACTGGAAAGACTGGCAAAGTGCTGTGGTTGTTGAAGGGTGTTAAGAATAACAAAAATGTTGTAATTATTTATAGTTAAAAGCAATACGTGTCCAGTAAATTAAATTAGTGTAAACTCTGTCTCTAGTCTTTAACCTGTGACAGTACTAAAAATATGTGGTGCTATCAAAAAGTCTCTGAAATTTGAATTTTTCGCCCGAATAATTATGAGTACATCGAAATACCGCAAGATGTCTCCCCACACACCCTTCTTGAATCAATGTGGGAAGTGGCGTTTTGTTGAGTGGTTGGGTTTATTGTTGGTGAACATATTTCCATTGTTGTGTTTTCATGAGTTTGCGGTTTTGCGATGGCTGACCTGAGAGAGCAGCATGTCTGTATAAAGTTTTGTTTTAAACTTGGGAAAACGGCTGCAGAAACACCAAATGTTGAAGCAAGCTTTTGGTGACAACAGTTTAGGCCAGACACAAACTTACGACTGGTATAAGTATTTCAAAAATGGCCGAACATCGACTGATGATGACAATCATTCGGGACGTCTGCCAACTGGCACCACATCAGAAAATGTTGTGAAAGTTAGGGATCTGATTCTTCAAAATCATAGACAGACCATTCAAGACCTCTGTAACACCTTGGGACTAAGTTATGGTACATGTCAACGAATTTTGTCAGAGAAACTGAAAATGAGGAGGATTGCGGCGAAGTTTGTGCCACGACTACTGCAAAATGAACAGAAGCAGCATCGCTTGGAAGTCTGCAGGGAACTTCATCAAACTTTCTTTCAAAATTTGTCACTTGTGATGAAAGTTGGGTTTATGGTTACGTCCCTGAAAGTAAGCAGCAATCGTCACAATGGAAGAGCCCTTCTTCACCTTGGCCAAAAGCTCAACAAGTCAAGAGCAACATTAAATACATGTTGATCTGTATTTTTTTTATATTGAAGGGATCGTTTATAAGGAGTTTGTCCCTCCTGGTCAGACAGTCAATAAAGAGTTCTATCGCGATGTTCTAAGGCGTTTGAGGAGGACATGAGGAGAAAACGACCAGAGAAGTGGCGCATGAACAACTGGGTACTCCACCATGACAATGCACGACCGCATACGGCTTACATTGGACAGGAATTTTTGGCTAAAAACAAGATGACAGTTGTTCCCCACCCACCGTACTCACCAGACTTAGCTCCATGCGACTTCATTCTCTTCCCCAAGATAAAAACGAAGTTGAAGGGGCGAAGATTTGTTACATTTGAGGAAATTTAAGTAGAAATGCAAACGGTACTAAACCCCCTAACAAAAAAAAAGACTTCCAGGATGCATATCAAAAGTAGCAGAAATGCTGGGATGGGTGTATGCGCTCCCAAGGGGACTACTTTGAATGTGATGGTGCAGACTAAGATTCAGGTAAGATGTAATAGTTTTTATAAATATATTTCGCAAACTTTTGGATATCAGCACGTAATTTTATTCATAATAATCATTTACTTCTTCATGATAATAAATTTATCGAGACCCATTAACACTTTGCAATTGCTTGTTTCTTTGCAGCTCTCTTCATAGTTCTTTTGCCTTAATTACTGTATACAACAAAAAAGAGATCATTAGAAAAGTTCTCAGTGATCTGTTTCCCATATACAATGAAGTATGTTTGTACAAATGTGTTGTTACAGATGTTGTTTATTATGACAAAGTTCCTCTGGAAGATGCATATGAAAAATTGCAGAATTATATTAAATCATGTAATAATCCATTCTGTCTGACAGCGGTTAATGTGATTAAACAATGTCTACAGGAATACAGGTATTTTCATCTGACTTTTAAATTCTGTTTATATGATATATATTTGGAATACATATTTGTAATTTTATATAATAATGGTACAGTGCCTTATATTTTTAAACAGGAAAATGTAGCATTCTGTGATGTCACTTGTTCAGTCTGCATTCATTTGCTTCAACTTTCATAAGGGTGGCAGTTCTGTATACAAATTTAAATAGTTTTTCAATTCTCATAGATACAAAATCAAACAAAGATATTTTTTTTAATGCTAGTGGGGTGGGACTAAGTCCCTTGTACTGTAGCCACTTCTAGTCTATTGTACCAGCCCCAGATGATAGCCAGATAAAAGCCCAGCTTCGACAAGAGACAAGTTAGACAGGTACCCCCGTGTGGAGGCGGGGTTGAATACCTCTACCGTGACCCAGCGAGTCATAGGAGGTGACGAAAAGGGAAGTCTCAAATCTGAGACAGTAAAATATGGTCGCAAGTTCCAAGGGACTCAGACCCGGGAAAGACTGCACTGGCAAGGGCCAGCAGCAAATAGAAAAGACAGACCTGTCCTCTCGTCAGAGAAGGCGGCCCACAAAAACAAGACTGTAAATGCCAAACAGTAATAAATAGCTGGTCATGAGCCCCAGATGGAGCTCGACACCAAGACTTACTGACTGACTGAGTGACCATCAGTCGCAATGTGACTTGGACTTGGAGACGAGTTAGTCTTGGGATAGCCGCCTCTGAAGACAGTTGGAACGTAGCCGCCATACAATACAGACAGAAGACAGCAAGAAGCCAGTCTTCAAAAGTTTTACTTTTAAATCACAGTACTGTGTCTATAGCTTCATAACTTGTACTGTTCTCCAAGTATAATTAGAATGATCAAGTCAAAGAGGATGAGGTGGACAGGTCATGTAGCACAAATGGGGGAGACAAGGAATGCGTATAGGATATTGGTGGAAAAGCTAGAAGGAAAAGAGACCACAAGGAAGACCAAGGTGTAGGTGGGTGAACAATATTAGGATTGATCTTAGAGAGATAGGATGGCATGGCATGGATTGGATAGATCTGGCTCAGGATAGGGACCAGTGGAGGGCTCTTGTGAACACGGTAATGAACCTTCGGGTTCCATAAAATGCTGGGAAATTCTTGAGTAGCTGCAGAATTGGCGGCTCCTCCAGAAGGGCTCAGCTCCATGAGTAAGCAAGTAAGTAAGTACTGTGTCTATTGTTATTTTAACATATTGACTAACTGCCATACATTATGGTAAGTTTTGAAGTGTCACATCATTTTCATAGGTATGGGTTCTCCTGTTCATGTTGTCTTTCTTTCCAGTCCAGAAGAAATATGTGTTTACTTTGACGGTGACATAGCGTCAAATTGTGTACTGCATTTGTACTGTGCTTTGATACAGAAGGAAGGTTCCATTCCTAGGATACAGGCTGTGTGTATCAAGGAGAAGCAGCATTTACCTGAGCTGGAATCATTTGTGGTTGAAACCATCACCAGGTGTTTATAAAAACAATTTTGGGTTCAGTGTTTCAGGTTTATGTAAATATGACTTTTTTTGTTATGAAGGTAACCGAGAAATTTGCATGGAGGATAGGCTTGTATTAAAAGTGGCAAAAAAAACTCCTTGTTCTTTTTCTGTATATGGTATTGTAGAAGAGGGCAAGTGGTAGCATAGTTTGGTTGAGGCACTATGCTACAAGTTGGAAGGTCAATGGTTTTAGACCCGATGAGGTGGATTTTTTCAATTTACCTAATCCTTCCAGCTGCCCTATGGCTCTGGGGGTCGAATCAGCCTCTAACAGAAATGAGTGCCATGAATCTTCCTGGGGGAGTAAAGGGCGGATGATGCATAAGGCACAAACTTACCACCATCTGTGAGACGATTGTGTAGAGAAAATGTGGGAGCCTCAACGTCTCACAATCCTGTGGGCCTTCATATCCTGTTAAAAGGATAGCTTTACCTTACCTTTATGTATTTTTTAAGTTATGGTAGAAAAATAAGTTGCAAACCAGTTTCATACATATTGTGCTGTTTATTTCATTGTTTTGTGGCTGAAAGCATAAGGCGCAGAAAGGGAAAGTTTGAAGATTTTGCCTGATTTAAATAAAAATTGTCGTTTTAGGAATCAGCCATAATTTTACACACACACAAAATTAGTGGTTGATAGAGAGCCATAGAAATGCTTGCCCATGATGTTTTTCATGAAAGAATAAAAGATGTGAAAGGATGCGATCATTGCATACTTCAGGGTGCTATCCTACATTTGCCTGGTGTGTCTGAGAAAACCCATGTAAAACATGAGTCAGAATAGTTGGTGCCCACAAAATTGTCATCTTTACTAGTCATACTACAGTGTGTGTGTCGGAAAGTGGTACATGCACTTGATTTACAGCTCAAACTAGTGATAATGGACTGGCAAACTATCAGTGCAGTTTCTTGACATGTTGTTGCATAATTGCAAATCTTAGATTAAATTTGTTCACCTGAGGAATTCCAGAAGTTTATGTGCAGTTCAGGGACCTCATAGCTTACTGAAAATTACAAATGATAGTCCATTTATGAATCTTGTGGACAGTAAGGGATAAGTAGATAATTTGCTTTCTACAGTAATATATTTCTCAAGCCATCAATGGCTGTGTAAATCTATAGTAAGATGTGATATTTTTTTATGATAGTGATTCAAAGGTATGTATTTTGAAAGAAGAAATGGTCATTATAGGAAGTGTTTGTTCTTTCTCTACAGGTATAATATAAATTATGACGTATTTGAGTATCAGCAGAAGTCATCATTTCTGCAACTGTCAACTCGTCAGCCACCTATAAAAGCCGTTATTATTGGTAACTTAAGTTGTGAGCAACAAATAAGTAAGTACAGTGTGAACATCAATTTAATTACCTATATTATGGGCAGGTCTATTTTTTCTTTCTCCAGAAACAAAATGAGGAAGAGTTTGGAACAAAAAGCTTTAAGTTTTGGAGCAACATATTGCCTCCACTTTATGCTTGAAGAGTAAGTCAAACAAGAAACGAGCAAAAGGCAGGTGGCATGCAGAGCCAAAAATTTAGTGCAGAAAAAGTGTAACTTTTGGAGGAACATATTGCCTCCATCTTCAGACCTACCAATTATTACAACTGAGAAGAATGTATGCGTACTATTCATAGTCACCATTGATAGAACCTCAAACCAAAAATAAGGGAGATGGATAACACTTCTGACACAAGTACACTTTGCTTGTATAAATTTATTTTGGCAAAATGGATTTTTTTAAGTTACATAATGATGCTTTCAGTTCTGAGGCTCTGTAATGTCTCATCAGTAGATAAATTGAGACATTCTCCAACTGTCTCTTTCTAGATAAGGTGTCCCAAAGACTATTTTTATTGACCCTTATGCTTTGAAACTATGACAACCTGAACAACAGTAATTGTTGCTTGTCAGGATTTGAATCAGGTTCTTCTCAAAAACAAAACAGCAGTGTTGGAAAGCAATGAATTTGAAGTGGGGAAGATTTTGAATGAAGGATTCAACATTGGCTGTTAGATTTTTGGCTTGGGACAGTGAAGTGAAGCATTAAATGGAGGTAAAGCTATCCCTCTAACAAGCCATGAAGGCCCATAGGATTGTGAGACGTCGAGGCTCCCACATTTTCTCTAGACATTCAGCTCACAGATGGTGGTAAGGCTATCAGCCTTATGCGCCTCCTGCCTTTCCCCCCCCCCCATCCCCCGGAAGATTTCTGGTACTCATTTCTGTTAGATGCTGAGTCAACTCCAGGGCCGTCATGTGGCTTCAAGAATTAGGTAAATTGAAAAAACCCACCTCATCGTGGTTTGAACCCACATTAAATGAAAGAAAGCCTTAAATCAAGGAACACTGAATTGGAGTCACCCCCCCCCATTTTGTATTGTGATATAGTTATGCTTTTTATGATACAGAAAATTATGTAGTATATTAAAACCATGTCATGGACTGTCTGTCTTCTTCACTGTCAATGTGCCCCCTTCCTGTTTAAAAATATCACAATTATCATAAACATTTTTGCCATTATAAATATCAGATATCATCTCCCCTTCCCTTTGCTGGTCCATTTGTCTGCCTATCTGTCTCCCCTTTCTAGTAGTAAGGTCTGAAATCACAGGAACTAAAAAAAAGTAAAGTAAAGGTATCCCTGTAACAGGCCATGGAGGTCCATAGGGTTGTGAGATGTTGAGGTTCCCACATTTTCTAGACAGTTGGCTCATAGATTGCAGCAAGGTTGTCACCCTATGTGCCACCCGCCATTTACCCCCAAGAATATTCCAAGAATATTCCTGGTACTCATTTCTGTTAGAGGCTGAGTCGACCCCAGGCCCATAGTGCTGCTGGAAGGCTTAGGTGACCTCATTGGGACTTGAACCCATGACCTTCCGGTTTGTAGCATAGTGCCTCACCCAACTACACTATTGGATGCCCCTGAAATCTTAGGAGCTAGCTATAAAAATTGAACTTGTTACATGTTTGAGAATTTGAACTTTATTGTGAAGCTTATGACTTTCTGAGTTCTGTAATTTTTCTTAAATCAGCAGTTCATTAAGAAATTGAATTATCAGAATTTGTATTAGTTAATTAACTTTGAATATAATTTTAATAATCTGTTCATTGTAAGTATAAAAGCTGTCATGTGTAACTCGAATGTTTTACAATAACAGTTATGTTAATATACATACATTTGTATTCAGGTGACTGCAAGAAACTGTTTGAAGAAAATACTGATTACTCGAATATCAGATGGATAATGCCACTGATAAATTGGGATAAAAATGATGTGTGGAACTTCATTCGAGCACTGACCCTCCCATACTGCACATTGTATGATCAAGGGTATGTACTCTTGTAATCTAATTGTAGAGAATTATTTTTCTTTGCATTGATTTTAAAGAATGTAAAAAGGTATTCCTGCCTGGGATAAGCCTCATGAAACATGAGAATGATAACCTATTTTTGGATTCATAGGATTATTTGATCAGATGGAAACTTTCCTTTAGTTAGCTGTGCACATGTGTTTGATTTACAATTTTAAACCTGACAAAGAATTTCATGTAACATATGCTGAGGATCAATACTAGATTGACTACCTTGAAACATGTAAGAAATTCCAAATACCTCAGTCATGTATACATATTTGCATTGAAAATTACATTCAGAGAAACTTATACAGTTCTTGAAAAGACAGACTTAGTAAAATACTTATGTGCATCTACATCTAAGTGTCATGGTGCTTAATTAAGCAGAAGACAGCTTGAACCCTGGTGGAGTCAGCTTCAGTGCAAATCCTCTTGAGCAGGTTCAACAGCAGTATTATAATATGGTTAACAAATGTATCACACCCCAATCAGTAGAGTTTTTCCCTATCTCCCAGAGATAGGGACTATCTTTGTTGATGGGTCCACCTAAGTAGGTTTTTACCTGAAGACGGAGACAGAATTCAGTCTCCAAAATGTTGTATTTTAAATGAAAAAAACAGGACAGTAGATAATTTTCAGGAACACAGTAACTGTATTATTATGCCATCGTCACAAACTTGTAAATCTTAAATCTGAAGCACCAAGATGTGAGAACACATACTCATTTACATATGCACTTGTGGTGATGTAGACCAGTTTCTGAAGCATACATGTAATATGTATGCTTATAAATATGGGTGGCCAATAAGGATATATTTGTGCTTTGGCTTACATGATGTTATTTTTTAAATTTATGAAGGCTGATTTTTATTTTCTGTTGAAGGTATACAACAGTGGGGAGCACAAAAGCCTTGCTGCAAGCTTTAATGGACATGAACAAGTCAGCAAAAGAACTGAAGTAGCATGGTGATGGTATGCATAGTAGCATACTTGATGCATCTCCACTTCATGAATGCTGAACAACACATTTGCTCAGTCAGAAGAAGGTGTACCCAGCTCTGTATATTCTTACTGTAATATGATGTAAATATAATGTTTCTATTCACGGTATGATAGTAATTCTGTTTCTTTCTCCTTTGAATACGTAGGTCATACCGAAAGTCATGAGCAACTTTTTTTTTGCATGCAACCTGGGAACAGTAGACGAAAGAGAGTACAGTGGTAGGTGGAACCAGCTGTTGTGTTAACCTTGATTGTCTTGTGATGTCAATAGCTTGCATCATGTGACCAGTATCACTCCTAACAAAATGGCCAACAACGATATGTTGTTTCGCCAGCGTGCTGTCATCAAATTTCTTGTGAAAGAGGAAATCCCTGCTGCAGAAATTCACCAGAGACTTCAGCGTGCTTATGGAAATGTGTGCATGGGTGTGAACAGTGTTCGAAGATGGGTGAAACATTAAAGATGGGAAGACCACCTTCGAAGATGAGCCTTGGAGCAGTCGTCCTCGAACAACCTCAATTGAACGCAACAAGGAAAGAGTGGATGAGATCATTCAAGATGACAGGCATGTGACTGTGGACACAGTAGCCTAAAAACTTGGAATAGGATACAGTCCAGTACAGGAGATGATTGAAAGCTTGGGCTATAGGAAAGTTTGTGCTCATTGGGTCCTGCGGTTATTGACCGAAGACCACAAAGGTCAGCGAAAAGCCATCACCTCTGAACTGCTGCAGAGATGTTGACATGAAGGCGATGATTTTTTGCTCTGTATTGTGACAGGTGACGAAAGCTGGTTTCACCATTTCGAGCCTGAAACGAAACAGCAGAGTATAGAATGGCACCATTTGCATTCTCCATCAAAAAAGAAGGCAAAGACAGTGCCATCAGCTGCGAAGGTGATGGGCACAGTCTTCTGGGATGCAGAGGGGTCTATTCTGGCCGAATTCCTGGAACCTGGGCAAACCATCAATGCTGCTCATTATGTCCAGACCCTACACAAGCTCCGTTGTGCATTGTGCAATAAACGTCTGGGACGAAACATCATCATCCTGCATGACAACGCTCACCCCCATGCCGCTGGCCTCGTAATGGAAGCAATTGCAAAGATGGGGTGGGAAGTTCTTCCACACCCCTCCTATAGTCCTGATCTAGCACCCTCCGTCTACCATCTTTTCGGATTTGCGAAGGATCAGCTGCGTGGACAACGTTTTCAGACAAGGGAGGCAATTCAGAAAGCAGTGCGTCAGTGTCTTCGGATGGCTGGAACGGAATTTTACAGAAGGGGGGAGAAATGTGTACAAAGAAGTGGCGATTATGTGGAAAAATAAAGAAAGGTCTGTAGATTGAGGTGGTGTATTTGGTTTGTCAATAATAAAGCATGTTACTTTACAAGGAATTGTTGCTCGTGACTTGCAGTACGACCCTCATATAATATGTTACAGGAGCCTGCACTAAATATTGCAGTCAAGTGGGAAGCACTCTTGCTTTGTATTCGGAAGGTCTTGCAGTCCCATCTTTACTCGAGCTAGCCATCCTTACATATATTTCTCATGTTTTTCTTTAATCTCTTCAGACACACATTGATTATGACCATCATCATTCATAGTCATCCTGCCATTCAGAGCTATGTGATTTACACAGTTAAAGATGTATTCTTAAACCAAAAAGGATCAAAGATGTATAGGTTCCTTCAAGTCTGGAAAGAGCAATACTGTATCTTATCTGTGCACAACAAATATATATGTACATGTGTGTCTGTGTTTATTGACATTCAAAAATTGAATTTCTATGTAGGACTGATTTTAATATTTGTTATATAATTTCAAGGATACCCGGAGAGAGATATTAAATTTGGTTTTATTTGTTCATGGTTTATTTAATGATGAACTGGTAAGGATGCAGAAGGAATAGTAATGGGGTAATTTGAGGTACTGTGGCAACATTTGCTTGGAGGGACTGGGAAAAGCTACAAGAAATCTCAGGATAGCATAACTTCAAGCCACGATTTGAACCTGATGAGCTGAATGTGAAGCAGTACTACAGTACTACAGTACTACTACAGTAAGTGAAGTGATTGTTGGTGTTCCAATTGGTAGTATACATGCTTTTCATACGAAGGGGGACCCAAAAATAACCAGAAATGACCTGTTGCGTGCGCATACTTTGTAGTTACGAGTTGTGCTGCTAGGTGGTGTTAGCTGGGGGTCTCCCACGACTGTTAGTGAGCTGGCGTCAGTCTGAGTTAAGGGGTTTGTCTGTGGTGCTCTGTTGTGTGCGTTCCTGTTTCAACCCTTTGGCGATTAGTGAGATGGCCGACCAGAAGGAACAAAGAGTGTGCGTGAAATTTTGCTTTCTGTTAGGGAAAACTGCACTTCACTCTTCAAGTCGCGGCAAACATTCACGTGGTTTTCTCTTTGGTCATCTCCGAGCAAGCGAGGAACAAATTTTGCAGACACCCGTCTCATGTGCAAACCTTCGGTTAAAATTCGCTGGACCGTGCTCCATGAGATGTTCGTTTCCTCAGAAAGTTGGTCAATGGTCTTTCGACGATCTTCATCAATTTCACGCACACTCTTTGTTCCTTCTGGTCGGCCATCTCACTAATCGCCAAAGGGATGAAACAGGAACACACACAACAGAGCACCACAGACAAACCACTTAACTCAGACTGACGCCAGCTCACTAACAGTTGCGGGAGACCCCCAGCTAACACCACCTAGCAGCACAACTCATAACTACAAAGCATGTGCGCGTAACAGGTCGTTTCCGGTTATTTTTGGGTCCCCCCTCGTATACTGTCATTCTGTTTGCTGTACCTCATTGATCTTCATGTAGGTACAGATCTAGCGTTAGAAACAGAAACTCACTGTTGAACAATAAAAATGTTTTATAAAGTAAAAATTAGCATTCATCTTGTTCTATTAAAGATTTACCACTTTTAAAACTGATTTGATAATAATTGTAGATTTGAATGACATGTATATGTAATGCACCAGTTTCATATGCATGGATACAGGTCGGTGCAGCTCAATTTTAGCTTCTTGTAAATTATGTTGGACCAGTATGAACCAAAATTTAACTAACTCTAACTGTCCCAATATTAAGTAGAATGTGAGATTATCACAGTAGAGACTATATGAAGAGTACTCTGTTCTTGGATGTACCAGACTGCATGTGGTTAATGCTACGTAGAAGGTAGTACTCTTCCTACCCTAATATTACATTTTTTTTCATCACATAGTTTCAGAGGCAAAACATGCAGCTTGATGGACTGATGCAATCTCTCCATAGTTTCATATATGCTATCTGATTAAAAACAATTGGAGCAACAGTATCCTCCAAAATGCAGCCTGACTAAACATTCATAATAATGTGGCCTGTTGCTAAGTTGCAGCTCTGTGGATAGCTACTGTTTCAGAACAACAGCTCGGTAAATACATTCTCATTGCTAGGCAGCAGATTCTTTGTAATGCAACAATATAACAGCTGTGTTTTCTGTGTGGTCCATGCCAAGATGTAATAAGCAAGGGTCAAATTTTGTGGATAGTCTAGTTTCCCGTGTGGAGATGGGGTCAAATACCTCTGCTGTGAACCTGCGAGTCGTAGGAGGCTACGAAAAGGTAGGACTCAAATCTGAGACAGTAAAATGTGGTTGTGAGTCCCAAGGAACTTGGACCTGAGAAAGACTGCACTGGCAAGGGCCAGCAGCATATACAGACCCATCCTCTTCTCAGAGAGGGCGCCCCACAAAAAGAAGATTGTAACTGTCAAACACTAATAAATAAATGGTCATGACCCCCAGATGGGGCTTGACACCATGACTTACTGACAGACCGTCAGTCGCAATGTGACTTTGACTTTGAGTGGATAGTGAGTTCTGCATGGGAGGCTTGAAAAGAGGACCAGAGCATGTGAAGCTGAAGAATCTCCACTGTTAGAAGCTTTTATGAGGGAACAGCTGGTGAAGACAGACAGCTGTAAAAGGCTTAGTGGGAGCTGTGGTGATTTGTGAATTGTGGAGATTATAAAGGTTGCACTGTAATTGCTAGTAGCTCTGAGTTGTGCATATAGATGGTCAATAAATCCACTCACCAATTCAAACCCCGTATATAGTCACACATAATACGTGACAGTAATAAATGGGTTAAGAAGAACACTGGAATTCAAAATACCAGTGATTTTTCTGCATATAATTTTGATCTCCCAACAATTTTTATATTGGTTTTCTTTCAATATTATTGATGCTGGAGTTATTTTCAGTTTGGGCCGTGCCATAGCTCAAGCAGTTAGTTGCTGGCTTCACTGTGGCGGCCCGGGTTCGGTCAAGTGGGATTTGTGGTGGGTAAAGTGGCGCTGGGGCAGGTTTTCTCAGAGTACTTCGCTTTCCCCTGCCAATCCTCATTCCACCAATTGCTCCACAATCACCCACACCTATCATCTGCGGCTGGTACAATAGGCCAGAAGTGGCCGCAGTACAAGGAACTTAGTCCCACCCCACTTGTAATAAAGAAAAAATATTTTAAGTTTAATTCAAGTTACGTTTAGGTCAGGTTTAGCTGTAGATTTTACTTCTTAAATAAAGAAATATATTTTGAGTTCGTGCTTGCACAGCTACATTGGTATGCTATCAACATCATTAATTTCGTGTTTCATATTTTCGTCTATAGGTGGTAGGACACTGCAACTGAAATGTGCTGCTACTACGGCAAGAATCGTAACATGTTAGAACGAAAATAAACGTATGCATGGCGTTTTGCTAGTGTTCAAATTCATAGTTACGACAAAGTATTTATATAATCGGATATTCATATTTTAAAGGCGGCAGTAGGGAAGATCGGTTCGTAAGGTTGCATTTTACTACGCTGTATTTTTTTTTTAAATTTATTAATAAAGATTGTTCATCCGTGATTATTAAATAACACGAAATCGGAACCTTGCCCCTGACCACGATTTGTTTGGGCCTTACACGTGGGTTCACACCTCATGTGTTGTAGGTGCGGTGGTTACTGTTTTGGGAAGATTTGTCTGTGGAAACACGCTGTAAGAGATTGTGATAACTGTCAACGTAAGTTAATTGTTGTTATTGCAAGTTTTGTGTCCTACCCTAACCTTAAATATGTAACATTTTGCTGTTATTTCCTTCAAAACGCGTGATTCCCATTACTCCAAGTTCGAGGATGGTTTCTAATCCCACACTAACATGCTGGCGTGATTTGTATGGATATTATTAAGGAAGGTTATGTTGGCACTGGGGGTCCCAAACCATATTCTGTTCTTTTACTAAAATACAGTATGCATGAAAACGGTGATTCTGAGAGACTGGATATGTATTGATGCTCAGCATACATATTGGTACAATCAATCAATTAAATCTACAGGCGGAGATATTAGTAGCAATAAAGAAAATGTAAATTGATAATGAACAAGCAGCCAGGTAAATTTTTCTCTGTTTTCTTGGCATGGAAATATACTACAGACCTCGCTGCAGTTTTACCTGCATGGGTTAGCACAAAAAAAAATACTTTTGGTAATATGAATGTTGGAAGCTGGTAGTTTCCCCTTACCTCATGAAATGAATTTCCTTTGTTTATAGGTGGGAATGGAGGTTCGAATGGCCAAATGTACATTATTTTAAATATCTTAGTGTTGATGGAAGGGGAATAAACGGCCAATCTGTCATTTTTTCGGTGTTTTATAGAAGGCATACATACAACCAAAAACTATTACAATGAAACATTCAGCTATCCCATTTAGACCTGGAAAAGTACAAGTCATATTTGGAGATTAAGTCTTGCGTAATTTGCAGATCCGAGGGGTTTTAATTACAGTCTATATCCATTATTGTTACATAGACAAAGTGAGGACTGTGCATGGAGAGATAGTTTTCTGGGCCTGTCCGATAAGATTCCCATGTGATAATCTTTTTTTTTTTTAAATGACAGTTTTGTCTCTTGGACTGCATTAAATATTGTCTTGAAAATGGAGAACTTTGAGTGCCTAAATTGAATATAAAATATATATCTAATTACCCATGCATGAAATATCCAGTTTGTGGCATAACCATTCACCTTTCCTAGTGTTTGCTACCCCACTTAGTACCTTTTCAGTTTACTCAGTCCATCTGTTTATCTCTATTTATGAATGAACTGGATGGATTTTCATGCACCTTGATATTTGAAAAATTTATGAAGAATTGTTGAGCCATTTCAGTCTTCACTTAGATCAGACTATGCTGGCAACCACTTTGCCTGAAAACCTACATGCATTTATGTATGTATCTCAAATATGACTTGTTAAAACGTATATTGGAGCAAAGGATGCTTGGAGCTAGAGGTGCAGAGAAATATGAAATGCATGTGGTATGTTCAACACACTTATCTTAACTCTGGTGCTGTGATATTTGACTGAAGTTGAAGAAGCATCTATTACCATGTAGTGCAACATTTGACTTTAGTCTACATCAGGAAATAAGCTCCTTTTGCTTCATCATTTGACTTCATTCACAGGGCCATGAAAATGCATTTTTATTGTGTTTATTTGACATTTTACCATAAAATTGCATTATTTTAAGAAAATGGGGAGAAAATAATACTAAGTGTGTAATAATGTCAACTGTCACTTCCACCTTAGAATTTTGCAATGCTCCCATGTTGATAATATTGATATCAACATTTAATAAGTACAAAGCTTGGGTAGCCTCTAGTGGCATGATGTTAATGCCAAGTTTCATTGGAATCAAAAGTTATTAAGGGGACAAACACATTAACAGACACAGGAATTATGATCCATAATCCCGTCATTCTTTACAGATAAGCAATGTAGGCTAAAAATAAACCTAGTTTGTTGAGTTGGGAAGTTGGTATGTGCTCTATTTCTTTGATGCCTAATGTTACACCACTGTACTTGTACTTAAAACTTTAATCTCTGAAGTGTCATAATATTGGGAATAATGTAATATATGTTTTACAGGTTTGCCCATTGTCTGTCGAGTCTCATGCTGGTGAGTAAAAAAGTACATATTATTTTCATGTACATTTCTTAAGATTCATTGCCAGTAAGTAAACAAGCAATATGCAGAAGTTTAATATAAAGAGAATCACTCACAAGAAGGTAAATTACATGGAAGATCATGAGCAGTAGCAGGTTAAGATCTCGGGTAGGTTCATAAGGTAAAGGTAAAGTTGTACCTGTACTTAACTAATTAAGCACTATGCCATGAAGGCGTATGGGGGAATGGATGTATAAATCCATATTTTCTTTACGTAGGCACTACTTTAGATGGTGATATGGACATCAATAGAGCCTAGGAAACTATTCAAGAGAATCTCAAAATTTCAGCCACAGAGAATTTAGATTAACCTTGTTACGAAAATGCACACAGCCTCCGACCTGGACGAATCCTCTGGATAAACGACCTAAGCTAAAGAAAATGCATTAAGGGAGGAATATAGACTGAGGCTGTTTGAGAACAGGGTGTTGAGGAGAATGTTTTGACTGAAGAGGGATGAAGTGACAGGAGGTCGTAGAAAGCTGCATAATGAGGAGCTTCATAACTTGTACTCTTCTCCAAGTATAAGTAGAATGTCAAGTAGAGGAGGATGAGGTGGGCAGGGCATGTAACACGAACAGGGGAGAAGAGGAGTGCATATAGGATATTGGTGGGGAATCCAGAAGGAAAGAGACCACAGGGAAGACCAAGGTGTAGGTAGGTGAACAATATTAAAATGGATCTTAGAGAGAGAGAAAATGGGATGGTATGGATTGGATTGATCTGGCTCAGGATAGGGACCAGTGGAGGGCTCTTGTGAACACGGTAATGAACTTTTGGGTTCCATAAAATGCTGGGAAATTCTTGTGTACCTGCAGATTTGGCTTCTCATGAAGAAGGGCACAGCTCCATAAGTAGTTAGTTAGTTAGTTATTGGAGAGGGTGAGTTTCCCCATGCACTTAGACCAGTAATGGTCCATTGTGCTTCCCTCTATGATATTCTACCAGTCTCTATATCCTACCGATATTGGTGCGTACCATTAGTCCCGACCGAGCCAGCGAATTCGGCCTCCACTAGCTTGGCGGTATCTATAATGCTTCCCCCATCTATCAGAGGCGTTAGAGACTACTGTTGGGCGGGAAACGTCCTTAAATTTGGCTCAGTGACCTCCTTTGGAGATATGAGGTTCTTTTACGTGCCGTAAGCTACGACACGGGACACACGGCTTAAAGTCCCTCCCGGAGGACTTGTTCCCTGAATTTTTCCGCCCTTAAAAATTCCACGACCTCCGCCGGGTTTGAACCCGCGTACCACGAGGTGGGAACGTTACCCCTAGACTACGGAGGCCGCTTGCTCCAGAAGTAAGTAAGAGAGTTTACATTGTTTCAGACTGAAATAGGATAAGACATATTTTGTCAAGAGATTCAAAATTATTGGATGAAAGAGAACAAACTAAATTTCAATGGTTACAGGATCTGAGCCAAATAAACTGAGATAATTTGAACAGTGTAAGACCTGATGTAAATGGACATTTCAGGAAGAAATTGTTTGGACTTCTATTTTTGCTTTGAAAAAACTGGGTTCCCAGGATATTTTGACGACGTCGAGTAATTTCTGACAGATTTTATATATATTAGTACACTCTCAGGAGGTGTTTAGTGAAGCCACAGCCTACGATCTGTACAATCGGGGTTCATAATCCAATAAGGGAATCCGGATTTCTCAATCCGCCAACACTTACGTAACACCTCTGGGACGCTTCCGACTGTGTACNGCCTAGAGAGAGAAGCTGACAACTCCATCCTGTGCAGAAGTCTATAATTGTTGCGCGCCGTTACATTTGTCGTCATAGTATGTTATGTCTTTGGCATGAGGGTGACTGGCTTTGCCTTTTTAGTGAGACATTTTGAAAGTCCAGAATGTGCTAATGTTCCAACTTCAGTGATCTCATACTGTCTCCCAGTTGGAAGAGTGAAACCGATTCGTGTAATACGACGAAAAGGCTGCCATAAACATGCATGCTCTGGGCGGCATTCTACTGGTGATGGAGCTTTAACAGCCGTTTACGCCGCGGTTGGCATTTATTGTTATTTTCGTTTCACCGTTGAAGGAAAGGCTTGTGTTTTGTATTTGTAATCCCGCGTTTTCCCTCAGATGGTTGGTGTTGATGGTGGGCTGTTGCAGATTTAAGTTAACTTTACCTCGGACTTTATGTACTTTGACTTCAGACAGAAGACCATTTTGTCTCACGCCCTTCCCAGTTCACTACTATTTGTAGTTACCGTCTCACACCCTACTGTTCATCCAGCGTCGTTATATTTGTCGAGAATAAATCAGCATAAAATCTTAAATTTTGGAAAAGTGTATATATAGTTCTTTTTAATGGTCATAGATATGATATTTGAGCGCTAATGATATAACTGTTTCTTGATTTGGTTTTATCTCGTGAAAGGCGAGAGATCGTGAATATACCTCTGAATTTTAGGTTGAAATTCTTGCTACTGAAGCACACGGTCATTCCGTCGTTCTTGACTTTCGGTTTTTACTTCCAAAGAAAAAGAGATAAGAAAAACAAAGTCTGCATTCTTGTTTGTAATTGTTACCACTCTCTTTAGAAATTTGTCGAAGTTCATTGTTCCTTGTAAGAACTTCTCTTTTATCGCACTGTCAATCCGTGGTAATAGAAGCTTCCATCTCGGGAGCAATTTATTTTTTTGTTCTTGTAGCATCTCTTTTTGATTGGCCGCAGTGCTTTCTTTTGCGTGATTGTATTTTGCAAGTTGCGTATTTGGAGAACGCTCCATAATACTAATATTTACAATATGCTTCGGCATCTTCCAAGATTTTGCCATTCCGTGAATGTCGCTTGTTTAAAACGTAATGCAGGTAACAACAATCGAGGATGTGAATGGAAGGTTAAAACAATTCATATGTAATATTGTATTTGCTGCTACAGCTAATGGTGGAACGTTTTTGTAGAAGTGTTCTGTGAAAAGTTAAAAATACTGTCGAAAGTTTACCAAAAGAGATGTGCAGGTATCAGGAAAGAGAGAATTTCAAGTTTGTAAATAGGAAGCCACTTTCTTTGATTTCATAGTTGTTCTTGTTGAAGGCTTTTTGGAACGATCAAAGTTTGTAGAAGAGGCTTCGAACTGAGTCTTGGCTGAATGTTCACCAGTGCATCGATGCTGAGAAAAGAGTTGGGTTACAGTAGAGAACTAGAGGCACTTTATCATAGGAAACTGGAACAAACTGGTATGTAGAAGAAGCACTTGAAACACTCGACAAAGTTGTAATAGGAGGCTGAATAGGGAACTTATAAACCGGTGTTCCATACTACAGTTCGTACCAAAATGTGGAGAAATTGATGTCCAATTAGTGCATGGTGGAAATATGATCACCGCCTTCTGAGTACAGGCAGAATTCTAAATTGTCCTATTATAGAATCAATAACCATAGATTCTGGAAGCGAAATTTATTAGCCGAGTTTGAAAATGCGATAGAAACATAGCTAGTTGTTGAACTATGGCGTGAAAGATGCTTACGATTAATGGGCATGGTTCTTTGTCTCCATTTGAGTAGATAATATATAGTTCTTTATCACAATTATATATTGCGCATCCACGGATGTTACAGCTGTTCTGTTTGATCGACCTTTAGTTTGGTTTAAAGCTGACCGTGGAAACCAGTTAATTGTGGAGGCCAAAGGGGTACATAAGTAGAGTTGGCCTTTTTGAGTCTGGGATATTATTGTTAAAATACTGACCTTTTTACGTATATGTGCATCGAACATTAGCTTGTTTTTACATTCGGAAAATTCGAGTCGGATAAGTAGTGTTTCAGAGTGTGTAAGATTACGCAGTAACTTAGTGACTTCGATGTTATAGGTCTATGCGATTAATTATTTTAGATTCATGAATTGCTTCTGGCATATTTTGATATTCTGCTCTTTTGATCTTAGTGATGTTGCTTAATTTATAAACTATGAAAAGAAACTCCGTGGCCTGTAGCCCGCAAGCGAACTATACCGACCGAGCGACTGCTGCTTGTCGGCGAAGCTAGTGCAAACTTTTGCGGCTAGAGGGTGTCACGCGGTCAGCGCAACGGATCCCCACGGCCGATAATCTCGGTTTTCTAGCCTGGATTATAAACTATGGAGCCGTGTTTTTTAACGATATTTATCAAAACTTGGAGTTCTTGTCCATAATGTTGTGTTGTGGCATCCTGTTGCACTGTGTCTGCGTTTTATTCATGTATTCACTGCCGTCTCACTTGTAACACACTAAAAGTTTTAAAATCCAAATTTTAAAATTTTTAATTTCGCGATTGTGACCAGTGTACTAGCCTAAAAAACATGCTACACATAAATGAAATTATACTTCGGAATTTAAAATTAAATCATGAAATCAGGAAAACGTATCGACACAAGTTACGACAGTGTACAAAAGTACAGAAATTTCTCCTATGATGGTAATGCACCTTATGATGGCCAAATAGGCTGACACGTGCTGTGCCATAGACGAGTTAAATAAAAGACATGCATCTTGAAACAGTTGAAAGTTTAAAATTTTAAAACTTTTAGTGTGAGTTGCACGTGAGACGGCAGTGAATAAGCGAATAAAAAGTTGGAATTTTTGCATTACTTTTTATATTAATTGCAACTGTTCAACTAAGGAGAAAAATAAATATATTCTAAATGTTTGCGTGTAATACGTTTAATTTCCATCTAGTGTGTACAAATAATGGGTTTAGTGGACACGTGTAGCCGATTAGCCGCGTGACACTGAGTAATTAATTGATGCTTTTCATAATATAAAATATTTTTGCCGTTACAAATAATAACTAAATTGCTACTGGGGCTCACGGTAACGTAGTTGGTGGAGGCACTGTGCTACAGGCCGGAAGGTCGCGGGTTCCTGATAAGGTTATTTGATTTCTCACATGACCTAACCCTTCCAGCCGCACTGTGGCCCTGAGGTCGACTCAACCTCTAATAGAAGTGAGTACCAGG